CTAAAATCAGCCCGACTCCCTTTTCTTTTTCTTTTTTTGTTTTTGGCATCGGGCTAGGGCTGGATCGATCCGGCCCAGCAGCGTTTTCTTTGCCCTTTTTCTTTCTTTGGGCTTAAGCCTAGAAACGAGCCCACATAAACAACTTAAACAAAAACGGATCAAACACCTAAAACAATTCTCCCTCTCTCCTGTTCTTAGTCTTTAATTTTCTCTCGTCTAATACCTTAATTTTGCCAAGAAATTACCTTCAACTAATTAAATCATGTTAGAGACTAATATAAATTATATTCTAGGACCTCACCTATCGACTTAAGCTTTTAGGTGAGATGGTCCTTTAATATGATATCGAGCTTGGTTGACCTCGAGGTCTCGAGTTCAAGTCTCACCATCCCCAATTTCTCAAATATTAAGCACAAGGCAATGTGGACCTATGCAAGTTTCATGCCCCAAATGTTGGGCCTTTCATTTGAGGGGGTGTGTTAGAGACTAGTATAAATTATATTCTAGGGCCTCACCTATCGGTTTAAGCTTTTAGGTGAGATGGTCATTTAATAAATCAATTAGGTAAATCAACATGAATAAGAAAAGAAAACAAGTATGCAAATAAAAACGAACGAATAAAATCAAAGCAAGCGAATTAGAGCCTAAGCCGACTCGGAATTATTGAAGATCAACCAAGAAAAATTCAAAAATGCAGAACCCAAAGTTGCCGATTTCTCACAATTTTGAACCCTTTCGTTGATTTCTCGTTCACTAAACCCAAGCCTATGATATTTTACCCAACCCGCATTCAAACACCCTTCAAACGACCCGTGGAATGATGAATCGAAACCCAACAGATGAAGAACAAACCTAGAAAATAAGAACGTCCGCAATGCTACCCGTAAATGTGAAGGGTCGAAAGTACGAGTAATTGAACCTCGAAATTCAGAAAAATGAGTGAAGGAAGAAGTGAGGATGGATATTTAGCCCCTAGAAACTCAAAATAAAACACCAAAAGAGACCGATAGGTTATGAACTAAAACCCGACCCTCAAGAACACCAAGAACATGAAGAACACTAAACCCAAAAACCCAAAAAAATTCAGTCGCCAAAAATCCAAATTAAATATTTTGCTTTTGATTTTTGAACTCTCTCTACCTGAATTATTCGCCAAAAAAAAACCCCTACCATTCTCGTGAAATTCAAATGTTTTATAGCCAAAACAATTTCCTAAAATTGAATTGAAATCCTTGAATTTTCCGTCAAAATCTTCCTCTTTAAATTCGAGATTAATTATGAAATCAAAACGAAATTTCTCATTGATTCCCGTGAGCGTTGGTTTTGGCAACAAAATCATAATTAATACACAATCAAAAACAAGAAATTCATGAAGGATTTGGGCGATTCTCCTAAAGATTTTTGAAGAGAATCGCCTTGGAGTGAATGACGGGTCGTTTGCTCCATTTCGGTCTCGTCGTTTGCTCCAAACTTCCGGTTTGGTCCTCACGTTTCAATTTCAGCAATTAAGCCTCTCTGCGAAATAATTTCAGTACAATCTCAACAATTAGGTCCCCGGAGGTGCAATTTAAGGCCTAAACTTTTTAATTGACTCAATTACATCCCTAATTACTTCAATTGCACCCTTAAATGAATTTTTTTTTGTTTTTTTCATCATTTTCTTTCTTTTTTCTCTTTTTCCTTAATAAACTTCAATAATAAATAAAAAAATAAAAACAAGAAAAATTTGGGTTACTACATATGTATATTGCACGACATGTCTAGCTAAGTGAAACAATCTACCCTTTTCAACACGTCCATAATGGAACAACACTAACACCTAACCATGACCAAAAAGCATTGCTCACAATCTTCACTAATACTCATGCTCACTTCAGCCAAATCACACCAAGTAACATCACTACACCTTTATTTTCATAGAATTTCACTCTAGCTATAAGACCAACTCCTACTCCACCTCAAAGTATTAATCCTAGTCCATTTGAAAACCCTCCTCCCATATCTACACTCCTATCTTTAGACTTATCTCATCAAGAAAACAAAAAAATACCAACCTTTATCCCACCTAACATTCAATCACCTGGTCTCAACCTTGTCATAGACCTTACGTCATATCCCAACATCCATAATAGGCTACAACGAGTTGAAAGACCTAATATCCGAACCCACTCTATGGCATTTCAACCAATAATCCATCCTCTAAAAACGATCAATAGTCACTTTTACCACCAAAATAAGAGACTACTTACAAACCGAACCTACCTTGTATCCCTAACCCAAAAACTATATGGAATGCGAGATAAGCCATGAATGATGAAATTACTACTTTACTCTCAAATAACACCTTGTATTTGGTTCCCCAACCTCTCAACAAAAACATAATGGCCAATAAATGGGTTTTTTGCATTAAATGAAAACCTAATGGTGAGATAGAATGCTACAAGTCAAGACTTATCGCCAAAGGTTACAATCAGCGATCCTATGTCGATTATACTTAGACAATCAATTCCGTTGTGAAGGCAACTACCATCGAACTATCATTTCTACTCGCCACTCGTAAATGGCTAGTCATCATGGTAATTGGGGATATTAAATGCCTTTCTCCATGGAGACCTTAACAAGGAAGTATTTATGGACCAACCATAGGGTCATGTCGAAAGGGAGCGTCCCGAATATGTCTATAAACCAAACAAGTGTCTTTATGTATTGAAACAAGACATCTCTATTTACATTTAATACGAGGAGTGGTAAAATTTTGTCCTTGTATATGTTGATGATTTACTTGTAACCGGCTCAAGTTCTATCTTGGTGGAAGACTTCATTGGCAAACTCCAACTTGAATTTCCTATTTGAGACCTAAGAGGACTCCACTACATTCTTAGAATTGAGGTGCTTTCCTTTCCCAATAGCATTCTTCTATACTAAAACAAGTACATTGCGGACCTACTCTAAAAGTCCGGAATGGATGATTGCAAGTGTTGTCTAACACCTAAAGCACAACTCCACCACTATCCAAAGATCATGGTACCGCACTAACAAATGCGAAAGCTTATCATCAACTCATTGGGGGACTCCAATATTTGACAATGACTAGACTAGATCTCTTTTATATAGTTAACAAACTTTGCTAGTTTATGCACTCTCTAACCGATGAGCATTAGGACGCTTTAAAATGGGTTCTTCGATACTTATAGGAAACTCTAACACATGGTCTCTTCATTGTCAAAGACTCACCCTTGCAACAGCACTCGCTATTCCTATAGTGATTGGATCAATTGTCTACCAATGGTTATGCAATCTACCTTAGGAAGAATCTCATCTCATGGATAGCCGGAAATTTTTTACAATAACACCGTTTTCAACCAAAAGTGAGTATAAAGCCATACCTAACACGGCTCCCTCTTAGTCGAACTTGGCATCTCATCTTCCCGATCGGCAAAATTATGGGATTACGATATCGGAGTAATCTATCTTTCAAGCAATCCAATTTCCATGCCCGAATCAAACACGTTGAACTAGATACACTCTCTCTTAACCGAACTTGCATCACATTTTTCGAATCAGCAAAATTGTGGCATGAAAATATCGAAGTAATCTATTTTTCGAGCAATCCAATCTTCCTTGTCTACACCAAACACATTGAGCTAGACTATCATTTTGTGCATGAACTAGTTACAACGAGAACAATTAAAATTGGTTTCATTTTCATTGATTACTAAACAACCAATATCATGACCAAGGTACTTGCTTGTTAGTCGGTTTCGGTTTCTTTAGGATAAATTCGGCTAATGTCTCACACGCAAAGGCTTGAGGGGGAGGGGTGTTAGGATAAGTACCACTCATCAATAGTCATCAAGATGTTGTATCTAATAGATAGCTAATAGTCATGTTAATCTCTATCTTTTCCTTTAAATTACTTGTACAAATATACATCCATGTAACACAATTTACACAATCAATTTAGTCATTCCCTTAATCTTAATAGGGACAAGGCTTTCTCTTTTCTTATCTTCATGTGTTACTTTATATTGGCCTGGAAGTTTATATTTCTTTTATTAGATTAGTTTTTTAGTTACAAAGAAGAGGTTGCCTCCCTTTCTAGGCTTCATCTACCGGCTATTTTGTAATTTGATAATTGTTGTCTGTTGGGTCTCCATATTCGGATCCTTTTCGTTGTTTGACTCCGATAATCTTCATCCATGTCCGCTCTTGTGGTGTTGCCTGTTGCTATTTGATCTTGTATTCAATCATCTCTCCCGTCATGTATTTTCTAACATTGAATAGCTAATTAATCTTGCTCTTTGCACACTCCTTAATTTTTTGCTGCTTGTAATCTTGGTTTTTTTGTGGCTTTCTTTGTTGCTAACAATATGGCTAGTCTTCTTCATTTTCTGTTTGGATCTTTGTTTTGCCTTTTCATTTTTTCCAAGTTTCGGGTAGCCCCTTCTTTTTAGGTATGGTGGTTTCCTGCTATAATAGTAGCAACAATCTAGTCTTTCCTCTCCAAGATGGTTGTTTTATTAATTGCATCTCAATGAGCCTTTTTGTTATTCTCTCGAGTACAACATAAATAATAATGAAAACTAAACCACTCGTAACTCTACACTGGACCCTTTTACTTAGTCTTAGACATTTTTCAATCGGAAAACTTCGATTGACTTAACAAATTAAAATGAAAAACATTTTAGGTATGATTATCTTGCCTTAACAAATATGATCATTGTCAAGCTAAGGTGTTTAGCACCCTTGGTTTGTACATCATCTTTGATTTATTTGCAAGAGATAGTTACCTTTCTTTTGATAACGATCTATTCATCATTGAAAATAGCACATCTTTATTGCCACACGAGAGAGGTTTTTTTCCTGAAATAATCATCGAAAGTAGCTAGCAATTACAAGCGAACATTGAATTTTCTATCAATGACACTCGTTAGCTAGTTTTTTCCTTTTCTTCATCATGAATAATTCATGAAAACTTGGCCTATTTTTTATTCTTGAAGGAATATTGATCAAGTGATTGAAAGGCGCAATCTACATCAAAAGAACATTGGCATGTTCGATCAACCATCTCGTGAGCAACAAGTAATTAGTTTTTATATGGTAACTCATCAAGTTGTTGGATTTGCACCCATATCAAAATTGCTATCGATATAAGTAGAAGTAAGTTATGTATAAGAGGAAGAGATGGTTGAAGAGTAAACAAGAATTCCTTTTCAGGTTGCAGATTAATGGTGGATTGATAAGTCAAATCATATAATAAGTGCATGGCCCCGGATTTTTATTTTTATGAAATTTTTTTTTATGAAAATTCATAAATTTAGATTAAAAGCTATCAAAATAATAGCAAAAATAAAGTACAAAGTCAAAAAAATTAGAACCAAAATTGTAATTCTTCTTCTCTGCTATTATTATGCTTAGCTAGACTATCACCTACAACATTCTTTGTTCTATTTACTCTACCAAAAAAAAAATGTCTTAGTTCACTAATAGAGGAAGTAATATTATTGAAATCAAAATCTAACTTTCAAGACCGGTCATATAAATGTATTTTTCTTTTTCTTCACATGATTTTCCATTAAAAAAAAACATTTTTTTTTATCCTTTTCTTTCGCTTAAATGTGTCTATTTTTACTCGTTTAAAGAGTATAGTTTGTTTTTCTCTCGAGATCTCTAAAATGTTTTAATGTGAAATTAGGTTAAAAGTCTCTTCATAGCTATGGAGATTTTAAACAATTAGATATGATGAGCATGACTCGAGTTCAAGTTCTCTCGTCCCAACCATGTCGAAAAGCTAGCCTCGAATGATAACTCAAGACTATTCAAAATATAATATGACATTGATTTTATAGTTTGAACTAGTAAAACGGATGATGGCTTGCAACTTTACAACGGATAATTTGTTTCAAGAATCTAAAATGGCACGGTTATGCATTAATAAAGGCAATATTCTTTTGTCATTTTAACTTAATGGTGATGTGTACGTTATGCTTGAACAAGGAAATAGCGAGAGAGAACCACCGTGAATTGAGGTAAAATTATAAGACTAATGACTTGTTGCCATAATAGATGAACATTCCAATTCCCAATGTTGAGACATATGACGACGAGCACATGAGGGGAGAAAACCCGCAAGGATTGAACATAGAAGAATTACGGAAATTAGAAAAATTAACTAAAGAAAGCTTGAGTCGCGTCATTGAAAAAAGGGTTCGTGTAGTCTTGTCGTTTAATTCGGAGACGAAGTTGATCCTCTATATATGCTGAAAAATTTGTACAAATACCTAAAACATATATTTCAACTTGTACTTGTTTCGGGGGATAAAATTATAAATAAGATCGTCGCTTTCCGGACTAAGGTCACATTCCTAAATATGAACATTTTCGAGCTCTTCATGCAAAAATTTGGAAAAATTATAAAATAAGTTTCAAAACTTTATCCCGAATCAATAAATTAAACACGACCATATGATGTGCATAAACCGATATTGCTACTCTTTTTTGCATAATCAAATTATTTCCATAACCACTCTCTATTTAATTTCTTATTATTTTTGCTTAATTTGTAAGGCGAGGAATTAATAGAAAAGAACCGAGTGATTGAACCAACAAGTGAGTTTACGTATGTTATTAAATTTTAGTTCTTCTTACTCACTCTCACTTTTGAGTTCATTTTATATTTGGTAGGTTATGAATTTATCGGCGGGCCTAGGACATTTGCTCGGACGAGGCCAGTCATCGAATTCCATGGTGACCAATATCGGCAGCATGAGCTCATCCGATCTCCTTAAGGACTACGACAGCTCTTATGGTTTTCTTACTCTAAGGTTGGCATGTTACTCTCATTTCCATGCAAATAGTTTCTATGAATTTAATTTCGGTTTCTTGCAGCTATGCGATCATTTGAACACATTATAATTACCCTAATTGAAACAACTTCAAATAGATAATAAGGACATATTAGTTTATTCACCCACTTTTTCTTGGTCATTATGGCTAATTTTTATTGTTCGATTCCTAATAATGTTAATGTTTTTGATAATGCAACTCCCGATCGTCTTGCGAGTTACATTTGCTTGATTAAATCGACAAGATGGAGGTTTATCCAAGCAATATCTAATGGCTTTGCAAGCATTAATTTGAGTTGCTTAATCAAGTGTATTACTTTCATTCAAGAAAATTTTAGTGTTGGAAAGTGTTATATGTACCTTTTAGAGAATTTATGATCATATAAGAAATTTGGAAATGGGACTCGCTTAATTCTTGTAAATGATACGTATTTGAATTTACATTGGTAAGGATAAACGGACTATGCATGTAACGCCTATGGTCCAATTGAGGTCGACAAGTGTTATTGCACTATCATACACTCGAGAGTGCAAGATAATGTATTGTGTCCTCTACCCTAGACCTTTATAACAATGTACAATGGAATTTTTTATTTAGTTTAAAGTTTAAGGCTTCCTACGATTCGACATTTAATATTACTAAATCTTTCGCAACCTCGTTGCATGATATTAGCTCTTTCATTTTTATTCATAATTGAATATAAACTTAAAATGAATATAATTATCCCTAATTCTTCCATTTACTTCAAATATCCTCTATATGTATATTAACACATTCAAAATATAATAGTGTACTATTTACAACTTAAAATGACCAAACCTAATAATAGTTTAGCCTTCAAACTTCAAACCTAGGCTTGTAGTACAAGATTTTTCAACTTTTGAAAATTATAGCTAGCATCCTCAGCACACCTAACTAATCCTCAAATGTTGCTTTGCTAACCTAAACTACAAGACAAAACAATAAGCTAAGTTAAGTAAATATAACCATGCATGAAATATAATTAAAATCCTCATTTTTCATACTTGAAATTTTTTCTGTCTTTTGGGTGCACCTCGCTAAAACCATGTAGTTTCGAGTCCTTTTTTGCCATAAAGGCTCTAGGCATGTTCGATTCAATGAACCTCACATGGGTTAATCATTTCTCTTGTCCCCTCTTGAACCACTACAACAAAAAGATAGATTTGCGATGGGCATTTAGCGACGAATCAACAAATTGTTGCTAATTTTAAAAATTTACAACGGTTTTAAGCAATTTAACGACGGTCCAAAAAACGATTGCTAAAATTCCTATTTGCGACCAATTTTTTGCAACAATCTAACCAAACCGTTGCTAACTTCACGAGTTTAATTTTTTCCCTACATGTAGATTGTTTTTGCAACGGTCTAGGACCCGTCACTAAACCGTTGCTAAGACGACATAACCTCAAAAAAAAGGATGATTAGAAACGGCTTTTTTTAATAGAAAACCGTTGCAAAAAATAATTTAGTAGGACCGTCGCTAAACCATTTCTAAAAAAAACAAAACTAGATTAGCAACAGCTTTTTAATGAAAAATCGTTGCAAAAAGAATTCGGTTTAGTGACGGTCTATTGATCGTCGCTAAACCGTTTCTAAAATCAAAAGAATTGAACAAAAATTACGATTAGAAATGGTTTTTTAATAAAAAAACCCTTGCAAAAAAAAATTGATTTAGCAACGGTCCGTGGATTGTCGCTAAACCATTTCTAAGATTAGAAGAATTGAAAAAGAAAATTTTCGATTAGCAACTATCTTTTAATACAAAAACCATTGCAGAATAACTTGGTTTAGCGACGAGTCTTGGACCGTCGCTAAACCCTTGATTAAAAAATAATAAAAAATAAAAAAATATTAAAACCAATTTTTGCAACAGTTTTTTCCAAAAATAATCGTTGCAAAAAATCATATTAGAGACGATCCGCGACCGTCGGTAAAATCAAACCGTTTGTGGGAAATAGCTAATTTTTAAAATTTTTATTTTAAAAACACTATTAGGGACGGGTTTAGTGACGGACGATGAGACCGTCGCTAAACCTTTACCTTTTAAAACCTGCCCTTTTTCCTTGAGAATTGGCGGTTTCAATTCTCTCTCCACCTCCTCTCTTTTTCTCCTCCGACAACACCTCAAATCCGCCTCCTTTGCCTTTTTCTCTATCAAATCCTCTCCTATCTTTCCTCCTACCATTTCTCCCCTCCAAAAATCCCCCTTTCTTCCCTCTTTTCCTCCTCCTTTCTTTCTTTCTCTCGCATCTCTCCACCAACCATTTTTCAACCAAACATCTCCGACGAAGGCTTCCACCGACGCATGACCCCTCTCCTTCTTCTCTTGGTGAAAGATCCACCCCCATCTAACCCCTCATTTTAATTTTTAATTTTTTTCAGTTAATTAATTAATTAATATAATATAATTAAATATTTTTAATTTGTTAGTTTAATTACTTATAATTGTTTATCGCATGTGTTGTTTTTTTTATTAATTGATGATTTAATTCTTATTATGTAATGTGTTAATTTAGGTAGTTTATTTGTTTAAAAATGTATTGGTATTAATTAGTGTTAATTGTGGTAGTTAATTTAAATGTTTAATTGTTAATTTAATATTAATTGTTAATTATTTTGTTAATGTTATTGTTAATTCTTGATTTATTGAATATTATTGTTAATTGTTAATTTTATTGTTATTGTTATTTTTAATTGTTGATTGAACTAATTTGATTGTTAATTGTGAATTTACTTGGTTTAATTGTTAATTGTTTTAGTAAGAAAATTTAATTGTTATTATTTTATGTTGTTAATTTAATTATTATTGTTGTTAGTGTTATTGGTAATTGCTAATTTAGTTAACTTATTGTGATTAAGTGATTAAAAAATTAATAAGTGATTAAGTTTATTTAGTGGTTCATTAAGTTAAAGTGTTAAGTAATTACAAAATTAATCAATAAATTAAATATTAATTAAATTGCAATATGTTGTTAGTTAGTAAATTTTAAATTTATTAGTAATTAAGCTTATTTAGTTGTTCATTAAGTTAAATAGTTAAGTAATTACAATATTAATTAAGAAGAAAAAAATTAAGTTTTTTTGAAATTATATTCAATAGATAAAAAATTAAGTTATTAGAAATATTTTAAGTGGTTATTAATTAACAAAATAAGTTGTATTAAAAAAATTAATATATACTTGTTGAATTTAGATTTAGTACGTAATTAAAAAAAATTAATAAGTGATTAAAGTTATTTAGTGGTTCATTAAGTTAAGGTATTAATCAAGTAATTACAAATTTAATTAATTGAATTAAATATTATTTGAATTGCAATTTATATTTATTTAGTAAATTTAAAATTTATTAGTAATTAAACTTATTTAGTTGTTCATTAACTTAAATAGTTAAGTAATTACAATATTAATTATATAAAAAAATTAAGTTTTTTTGAAATTATATTAAGTACGTAAAAAATTAAGTTATTCAAAATATTTTAAATGTTTACTCATTAAAAAAAAATAACTAATATCTAAAAAATTAAAAAAAATTAGATTTATTAATAAAAGGTTTTTAAGTAATTATAAAATTAATTAGTAATTTAAAATTTTTTTTTTTTTAAATCAATTCGGATCGTTCTTGGATTGACTTTAGATTAACCGATGGACTATTAAACGAGCATTTCATAGAAGGAATTAATGAATTTATTAATTTTGTAGTTAGTCATTGAGAGTGAATGGATGGAAAAAAATACGATGTCCATGTAAACAAAAAAAATGTCAAAATCATAGTTACGAAAACCTTGATACCGTTAAGTATCATTTCCCGAGACATGGGTTTGTGTCTTAGTATTATTTGTGGAGACATTATGGAGAGAATGATTTAATCATTAATGACAATTCATTTAATTATGTTGAACAAGAACAAATATTTGATGATCATCAAGTCAATCGATACCACATAATGGTGATGGATGCAGTTGGTTCATCATTTAATTCATCTAATACGGATAAAGACCCAAACCCTACTCGCATAAGCATTTTACAATTTATTAGATACATCGAATAGAGAAATATGGATTGGGTCGGAAAACCATTCATAGTTATTAGCAATGTCTCGTTTGTTGCATCTCAAGTTTAAGCATCATTTCTCGAAAAGGTGTTACGATGACTTATGTCAACTTATGAAAGAGTTGATGCCTCCCGATAACTACATACCATAAGAATTTTATAATACAAAAAACATGATAGAAATGATGGGTTTACCCATTGAAAAGATCCACGAGTTGCATCAATGGTTGCATGATTTATTCGGTGAAGACAATGAAGAGAATCACTTATAAAATATGTGATCATCCTCGATATTAAAATCCTAGGCGGGGGTTGATTAGAGAAACATATGTCCCCGACTAAAGGATGTATTATTTTTTGATAACCCCATGATTACAAAGGATATATGCATCGAACACCACCGTTAACGACATGACATGGCATACGCAACATGTCTATGAGCCAAACATCATACGTCATTGTTCGGACTCCTTCACGTAGCGATATTTTCACTAGACACATTCTTATTTTGCATCGAAATTAGGAATGTTAGATTATGTGTTTGCATTGATGGGTTTCAACCTTTTGGTAAATTTGGACAATAATATTCTTCGTGACTCGTGATTGTAATGCTTTACAATTTACCACCATGGAAATGTATGAAAGAAGAATACATGTTCTTAATCGTAATTGTCCCGAGTCTTAAAAACCCTAAAGTCAATCTAGACGTATACTTGTAACCCTTAATTAAAAAGTTGGTTGAATTATGGGAAGTAGGTGCTCTTACTTATGATGTGTCCCGTAAAGATAATTTTGAGATGAGAGTTGTCGTCATGTGGACAATAAGTAATTTTCCCGCATATTCAATATTATCGGGTTGGAGTACCGTAGGTAAGATAGCATGCCCATATT